TTTGGGTGAGGCAGCTCCCTGACCACGCGGATGTCGTCCTTGAGCGTTTCGACGAAGTGGTCCAGGTCGAATATGTCCTCGAACTCGCTGAGGCACAGTGAGGAGGGAGCGGAAAAGGGAATGGGTGGAGAGAAATGTTGGGTGAGGCAGCTCCCTGACCACTCGGATATCGTCCTTGCGCGTCTCAACGAAGTGGTCCAGGTCGAATATGTCCTCAAACTCGCTGACGAGGGGTGGGGAGCGGAAGTGGGAGTGAGTGGAGAGTAATGTTGAGTGAATGTACAACAGTGAGGGCACAGGAGGAGTCGCCCTTGAGCATGGCCACGAATTGCTCCAGGTCAATTATGACCTTGAACTCGCTGACATGTTCGACGTTGAGGAGAAGAGTGGGGAGGCGGGAGGGGTGAGAAACGATGAAGTGAAAGGGTGAGGAGGACACGAGGGGGATGTCATCCTGGAGTGTGGCGATGAGGTTGTTTGTACTGAGTATGTCTTTGAGCTTATTGCCACAGAAAGGAGGGCGCAGAAGAAAGCTGCATACGCAAACCCAGTGACGTCATACCTTGGGTCGGACCAGAAGGAGGTATGGTCCAGCTCCGGCACCACAAGGAACCAGTGGACAATCATCAAACCCCAACCACTATACCTGTGCATGCACTGATCTCTGTGCTCCACACGCCCATACCTCGAATCAAACCAGAAGGACGTGTGGTCCAGCTCTAACACCAGCTAAAACAATTAGTAAGTGCATACCTTGGGTCGGACCAGAAGGAGGTGTGGTGCAGCTCCGGCACCACAAGGAACCAATGGTTGCTTGTACACCTGTTCATGCAATGATCTCTGTGCTGCACATGCACATACCTGGGGTCGGACCAGAAGGAGGTGTGGTCCAGCTCCGGCACCACAAGGGTGGCGTTCATGATGCGAGCCACTGCCACCATGTCGCAGATCTGTGAGATAGGCATTGGGTGAAGTGGGAAAGGGTAAGATTAGGGCGTGTGCACTTTGGCAAAATTTGTGAAAGTTCGATCGCTAACCGCTTTGCACCGTGACAACACGTCTCTCAAACGTACTGTACCTAGTAGAACCTCGCTAAAAGTTCGAACTTAGACAAAAGTTCGAACCCCTACTGCACACGCCCTTAGCAGCAAGAAGCAGACAACAAACAGCCTGAAAAGCAGCTGATTAACTTTGCCCATGAAAACAGATTCTTGGTGCTATAAGAGCTGGTTAAGAACTTTCTTGTATTGTGGGAGCTCCAAAAGAGCTTTATGTGGGTTCAAGATGAGCACTCACCGCAGCTCGCATTTGGTTCAGGCCCCCGTTCGCCGTCACCAAAAGGTAGCCATTCGTTGCTGACTTGGCAGGGACTGGAAAGAGGGGAAGCAGCAGGGGAAAAAGCAGAGTTTCTCAAAATTACCCTCATACACCCAACCAGTGATAGGGAATTTTGCGGCAAGTACTCTCTAGCTCTCCAATCATCCGACACAAACAGCACGACGCACTGAAGGACGCTCATCACGAAATTATCTGCACTGGAGCTCGCGTTGGAACCAGGAACCACTGCGACCTACGTTTATGCGTCTTGGAGCGTGTGATGCACTGCCCTATGTGCTCCACCCTTAAGACTTCTCCACAGGAGATTTTCCGACGTCCTTTCTCAGTCGTCTCAAAATGCGTCCTACCTTTATTCATCTTTGAGCGTGCGATGCGCTGCTCTACTGTAGGACTTCCGACGACCTATCTGAATCCTTTTGATATGCGACCTACCGTTGTGCGTCTTGGGCGTACGATGCACTTCTCTATCTGCTCCACTGTAGGACTTCCGACGTCCTATATGGATCCACTAGAGATGCGGCCTACCTTTATGTGTCTTTGAGCGTGCGATGCACTGCTCAATGTGCTCCACTGTAGGACTTCTCCACAGGAGCTTCTCCGACGTCCGTCGCGGAGCGTGCGACCCTGACGCGTTGAACCCGGACGTCCACACGACGCCAACCGCGGACGGCAGGAGAAGCGAAGACAGGGAGGCAGAGGAGGAGGAGGGAGAAGGGAACGACAGGGAAGCTGAAGGAGGTGACAAGAGACGCTCCGTATCAGAAGCGGCTACAGTCAGCGTGGAGATGACTGGAGAATCTGCTCCGATTCCAGAGCGCGCCTTTTCTCCTCGCACAAATTCGTCCCCCACCCGTTCGTCCCTCCCCGTTCCTCCTCCTCCCGCTTCCACCGCACCAATGACTGCCGAGGCTGCTGCTGCTGCGCCTGCAACTGCTGCTGCGGCTTGTGCCGCTTCGCCTAGAGCCCCGTCCAGCATGCTGATCTCGCTGCTCTCGCCAGGCGTTTTAACCATGTCATGACGATTCGGCGTGTTATGATGCGTTTCAAAACTAGTTCCAGGCGCGTCATGAGATCTCGTAGAGTCTGCTGATGACGTCAACGCCGTGGATTCTGGTGTGTGCTCGGCTCGCTGATACAAGAAAACATTGGGGAAAAAGGAAAACGGATGAATAAGTCCAGACATCTGAAGAACCACGCGACCAACGAGACGAGGTCAAAAAGGGAGAGTGTCGTGTCACGACACATTTCGATCAGCTTATGACCCCGCAAAAGAGAATTTGACACTGTTTGCCTCCCATACGCTCAGGCGAACTCCGCATTCACATGTCGACCTACATGTGCTACATAACGTCTACATACACATCGAAGCATCCGTTAGAAGCCGTAACCCTTACCTCGGCCTGCAGAGCATGGGTTGAATCCCCAAGGCTGTCAGCAGAACCTGGCAAGACGGATGATTCCACTGCTTTTCTCCTTCCAAAGTAAGCACTTTCGGTGCTGCTTGTACTTGTAACCATGTCTTGTTCGGATAATGACGAGGCGGCGAGTTCAGGTGATAATGCGGAGGACGACGAGGGAAGGAGCTTCATGAGTCCTCTTGTCTGCAACGACAGGGTCAAGATACGAGGAGAAGACCCGTTGGACCGTATTCTCTATACAAGAGTTTCGGATTTCTCAAGCAGTAAATAATGGTCAACGGGTACAAACGACGTACCTTATGTAAGGAAGGAATCGACTTTAGTGATGCTCCGACCATGACCAGACCCACCATCAGCAACAGCATCTTCATGCGAAAATGCACCAAGATTCGCCGGAGGTCTCGCCTTCCGAACCATTTTCTAGCCTCTGGTAATGCTGACGCTAAGGCTGTCCGGGATTTGGAAGATAGCTGCTTCCGCACCTGACGCTTTCCATCAAGAATCTCAGGCTTCTCTAGTCCGGGATTCAATGAGGAATCTCTAGGGTGCTTAGGCAATGCCGTAAATCTCCATGAGACCATGGATTCCTGTGCTCTGTCACCACCAGTGCTGATGCTGGCAGCACGGGAAGAGGGGGAGTGTGAACTGGCTGCTGGACCCGCAAGATCGTGCTGAAAAGGCAGATGAGGGTGAAAATGGTGGCTTGCGCCTTGAAGGTGTGTCAGATTCGCTGGTTGCTTGCTGAGAATGGGTCGATCATTTTCGCACAAGGTTTCGAAGACTGGCCTTTGGCGTCTCGATTGTGCGACTAGAGGGCTTCTCGAGTGTTGCAGCGGGCTTGGCAAATCGCGAGTTTTCTGGTTGCTGCTATGAGAACGCTCTTGTAACACCTCTACGAAGGTACTGTCTGCTTCTTGTCCTCTCGGTGTTATGGGTTCCGCTGCAAGGGGAATAGCCATCTCGACTTTCATCCAGAATGAATCTAGCGAAGGTCCTTACCAATGGCGCATGGACGGATAACAACGGAAGCTCACCAACTCTCGTTCTGTGGAACAGATAAGCGAACTATCCCGATTATATCCATCAAAGCATCCCTGAACAACTCTGCAAAGTTAACGATAACGGGAGAGGCAACGTATAGTAGTAGGATGGCTACCCACGTGTCAACACACGCCAAGCGAGTGTTAGCATCAGTTAGTGGAGGTGTGTGCTAGAGTAGAGGTAGCCATTAGGGACAGGTAGACGTGGTATTCAGGAACGTTAGGACACTATGGATGCTCAGTGATGGTCTCATTCTGGTGCCGCTCGTAAGCGTGGGTGACCCAGCGGGACGACAAGATCACATGGCGTTGATTGGTTCTGCAGCTGACCTTGGTGTTTGGTCACAGGGAGTACCGCAACGATGCACATTCTTTCTGCTGCACTCAAACATATCATGTAGTAAGTAAAACGTCGAGATTTAGGACCATGAGTTACCGTACTCAAACATCCTGGAACCAACGTAATAATTCTCCACCCAGTTAAAGTCCCAACTCCGAGGCTCAGAAGTCCAAGCTGTTCGCAAAAGCTACACGTCGATAATCCCCAAGATTCACGTGGGCAGTGAGGACACAAGAATCAAATGAGGCCCCAAGGAAAGCAGGAAGCGGAATGGCGGGAATGCGGGAGCCGCTCCAGGCTGGTGCTTGCGGTTCGATGCGGTCCCGCACCGCGACCGCGACAGGCTCTGTTCTGTCGCTGTGCTATGACTGCTCCAAGCAGATTGGCAAGACAAGGTCGAGGTCCAAAGCTGACCGACAAGCCTGCGTTCGGTCTGACATTCGCTAGTGCGGCAACCGAAGCACGCCCATTCACATTGTAGCGCGGCTACTCAAAATCTTTGCATTGTGCGCATACAGTTCAGAGCTTAACATTCGGTAACTGATATCGGAGCAGCCAATAATGCTTCATCGCAGAAATGTTGCACTTTGGGGGGGTTGCTGCGGGGGAAGACATTGTTTTGCTGTTGCGCCTCGATCAAGTGACCGGCAAAAGGAGCTCACATGAACTTGACTTTTTTTGTGAGCAACCTACAATTGTCAAGGCCAAACCTCGAGAACTCCTAACAGCTGTCTGCTTCTAAACTGATCGTTCTGTGCAAGGGAGCGCTCGTCTCAATGATACTATTTAAAGGGTTGAAAATCGAGTCACAGTGGACGACATCCGCCCCCCAAGTAGTACGTCTAATCCTGAAGCACTAACAAAATGGGCAGGAATACTCAGACATTGCTTCATAGACTTTGTGAGCTGTTTCTTTTCGCCTTGGTTTTGAAATGCTATGGAAAAACGTCTGACAACGACCTTGCTCTCGTGGTAAGAGTTGGGGTCAACATTCCTTCCTCGAAGCAGCTTCTCCCAGAAGTTTGAAATAAGGATGTCTCATGCGTTGGTCATATTGGTACAGAGATATCGAGGCAGAGTGCTGAAGATTTGTTCGGGAAAAAGCGTAGGAGGAGCTTTGACCGTGATTTCGGGCAATAATTTACTCACGACCGAAATCAACGCTGGACTGGAAAATCCAGGCTCGCACATGTACATAGGGGATTCACGTTTGAGAGGTACGGCTTACCGCCGACTCAGAACGGGAAAATGGTGCCTATTGGACGAATCTAACGCTTCTGTTGGTTCTTGGACAGGTAGAAGACATTGTGGCAACGGAATTCTGCAATTTCTTGAGTTCAACAAGTCAAAGAATTCGTTCAATGCTCTCGCAGCAGATGATGTTCCGTCAATTGTGAAGCATTCATCCTTCGTCGTCTCTGTTACCGATCCGAGAAAGTCCAATATTCTGTTGAAGGGCACCTTTCAGCATGACCTGAATGTGACAGGACAGACTGGACATGCAGCCTCAACTCAGGTACGATATTTGGTCTCTACTTATTACTTGCGAAGATGTTATTAATCTGCCAACTTATGCCTGCTAGCCATCATAATGTGCAGGTGTATGCAGGCAGCGTCAACCAACTGGAGCAGCAATATGCTCCCCATCACAAGATGATTCAGGAGTTTATGCAGAAATATCCAGCAAAGAAGCTCCGTGCCGCTGTGTTAATAACCAGAGCTGAGGATGGCGTCTCCCACTCTGCTGTGTATATTTTGGTCCAACCATTCTGCAGGCATTTGAGTGCCCCCTATAACCGCTTAAGGCGGTGCCAGGTGGTGAATGCCTTCCTTGCCACCTTTACTGGCGATAATGAAAGCCAAGGCCGTCAGCTTCTAAAGGCTAAGCATGGTCCTCAAGTGGCATATACAGCTGCCTGCGTCAGATACGTTTGGAACCCTATTAAAAAGACTTACATGACAATGCCATGCTGAGTGCATACTTTATTAAAGACCCACCCTTCACATAAGCATCTCCTGTGCATACAACACTAACCGGCTTCTTCCTCATCGCTACTGCTATCCTGATCAGTGGTGCATTCCACCTTGAGCTTCTCCATAAGCTCTTCAAAGGCACTGCCCTCTGATCTATCATGAAGATCAAATGGGGCACCGCTAGCAGCTCTCAACCCCAACTGAACACCGCTCCGTGACTCCACAATCCGCATCTCTACTAGATCTGATGAACAGCAGCCACGCCTGCCATTACCCAGCTGCTCTGGATTTGATGAGTTTGAGTCACTAACGGTCCTGGATGTCTCGTGCCTCACGCATCTTTCTGAGTGTATACTGTCTATTTCCTCCCAAGAAAAAAGAAGAGGTAGAGTGGCTCCACCATACGTGTTGAAATCAACCAGCTTTACACGGCCATCACGAGTGATGTAGACATCAAAAGTATCTGTCAGAAGTTTAACAAATTCCACACAAAGGCAGAGAAGCTTCAGGAACACAAAAGCGTACTACAATACATAAGCAAGGAACATGATGTGGACTCACAGTAAAAATGGAAGAAACATGATCTGTGCTTACAGTCAGTAGATGGAAATTTCCCACAAATGTGGTTGTTGTAGAAGTCACATATCTGGAGCTTGAAGTTATCGTGAGAATCAACTAAAAATGGGTAGAAGGATGTTATCTCCCTCTGACTGATACCTGTCGGAACAGGGATTTCATGCACACGATAAACATATGATTGTGGCATGCCTGGGTTTGATAGAAGCCCAGGAAAAACAGAATCATAAAAGTAGCGTTAAGAGAGCAACATACCAATGAGTTGGTGGCCCTTGACAAAGCATCGAAACTCCATTTCTGGCCGGAGGTCAAACCACTTGCTCAAGGCGAGCACAAACTCAGGTGGACGGCTCTGCTGCGCACACTTTTGCTGCTCCAACTCTTCATCCTGCTTCTCTTGCCTTGACTCAGCATCACCATTCATTTCGTCCCTGCCTGGCTCTTTTTGTTTCTCATCCGTTCCAGTAGCCGCCATACACGCTCCGCCATCACTCCTGCTACTGGCAGGCTCGGAGTCATCGGCAGCTAAAGGGGCTTCCGCTTTTGAAGAATCGGCAGTTGAAGAAGAGTCAACACAACTGTCAAAGCTGCCATAAGCGAGAGAAAAGACATGGCATATGCTTGTCGTTAGCAATAAAAAGCAAGCCACCAATAATATTCCGTGCCTTGTGCAAACATTAAAAGTAATCGTAAGAGCAAGAGGGCGTGTTAAGTCAGAGCAACATACACACGACCGAGATCAAAGTTATAAACATTATTATACGTGCGTGTGCCGGTAAATGTATGTAGTTATCTGAGTGCCAACGGAAAAACATGCACAAGTGAGCAGAATAGCGAGTTGGGACAGAATAGCATACGCATGGCAGAGGTCATAGGTGAGGGAGTCGGAGGCCTTGAGGAGCAGAAAGACCTCCTGGGCGTTGCTGCACTTGGGCGTGCCTGTTGCACTCAGCCAACCCACATCCTGAATAATGGCGCAGGTGAGGGCAGGAGGGGGAAGGAGACAGAGAAGCGAATGCCTTCAAATTTGAGTTTTTCCTTAAAAGCGAACTCAATGATGGATGGATTGGCATGTCAGAACCAAACCAGCTGCAGCACTCACCTTAGGGCAGCTCCAGTTGAGTTTCGGCAGCACAGCTCCCCCCAGCCGTGCAATAGCGGCGTCAACAGCAGCCTCGAGTGCGGGGAAGGAGGGCACATCAGGCTCGTCTGCTTCGTCGTCCTCCTCCTTCATCCCCTCGTAGTCGTCGCAATGTGCCTCCCACTCACCCACCCGCATGCGCGTGGGCAACTGGAAGGGGAAGAGGGATGAGGGACGAATGGAGAGAGAGGACGGAAAGAACGGGAAAAAGGGAGGAAGAGGGACGAGAGAAGGGTGTAGAGTGAGAAGGACAACCACATGAGATGAAGCCGAGAAGATTTTACAAAGTGACAAAACCATGAGAAGATTGAGGAGGAAAAACCGCGAATGTTTCTTCCTTTATATATCTTCCTTTTAAACCGGAAACCCAGACCCAAAACCAGAAACCCCGAAACCCGAAACTTGAAACCTCCTCATTCTCTGCCCATCAAAGTCGCCACGATAAAGCACTCGCCGGCTCCCGTGTGCGTGTGCAAGTATTGGCGAAGGGAGCACAGCTGAATGGGATTTGACTGGAGGAAACCCGGAACGACTTGCGGACCACTTTTATACGCTTGTACACGCTGGGTCCTGTTATTTGATAGGAACGGGGTTGCTACCTAGAGCGCCTACATTTTACGTGCACTCAGATGGAGGGGAGAGAGCAGAGCAACCTACCGCCTTACACGAAGCAGGGAGGAAGATTCCGTCGGAAAGCAGGTAGTCGACGAATTCGGGAGGGAGAGGGACGATCTCTGTGCGGAGCGAGACGGAGCGGAATGCGGGGTACCAGCTCTGGATCTGACACGCGAGCACGTCGGCTCGACGCATAGTTGCTGATGCTGAACGCTGAATCCTTGGTATCGCCGAGTACGACGAAGCAAGGGGAAACTTAGGAGGGGGACGTGTCTCGTCTCGAAACTCGTGCGTAAAATGGTAGGTTGATGGCTGTGGTTCGCGCGAAATTTTTTCCAATGATGGTTCTTGTAAACTTTTAGGTGCTCCCCACAGCAGACGCGGAGACAAGAATATATCGTGGTAGAAACAACGGTGCCAACTTCAACGGTACTTTCTGGGGAAAATATGTCAATGGTAACTTACATGGGGCACATTAACGCGTACGGTAACGATTTCAACGCGTTTGGTAACTCGCTTAACGCGTTTGGTAACTCGCTTAACACGTTTGGTAACTCGCTTAACACATTTGGTAACTCTACACTAGCAGCCCATCACGCGAATGGTAACTACATGAAATTCCCGCCGAAATCTTCCTGAAAATAAGGAATTTATCGAGTTTGAGAGCTTTTACGCACATCATTATCTTTCTTGAACGCGTCCCGCCACGAAAATTAAGGACCCCGTTTGTTCTATTACCACGGACCGAAAAGTTCAGAATTTATATATAATTATGTAGCTCGTACAAAAATGGATAACATCATATTTTGATAGCATGATTGCGAACTTGCAAAACGATAAACAAAACTATTCCCGAAAGGACATAGGGAATTTTTTTTTTTTAATACTGCAAAGTTAGAAGATTTTTTCATGTGGAAAAAAACCTTTTGAAAATTACATCTTTCATTTTTTTAAATAAAGATCCATAAACGCCTGGTCGCAAGAAGTTTAAGGTTGTTGCTCTCAAATTTATTTGCCATCTGAAAGGGATATAGATTTGTTTGCCCCGGCTGCACGATAGAATAAAGTACAAACAGTTTGCGGAAAGTGCGCCAGAAACATTTATGGCCGTTTTCACAAAACTTACGTTTTTGTAATTTTCCAGAAAATCGGAAAGTGTGTCAGGATTTCGGAAAGTGTGTCAGAATTTCGGAACTTTGTGTCAGAATTTCGGAGAGTGTGTCAGAATTTTCTGCTTCAGGATTTGTCAATTTATTCTGACGCGAGCGGGAAAAACCAGAATCAGGCTCAATTTCGGTGGGAATTTCATGTAGTTACCATTCGCGTGATGGGCTGCTAGTGTAGAGTTACCAAATGTGTTAAACGAGTTACCAAACGTGTTAAGCAGGTTACCAAACGCGTTAAGCGAGTTACCAAACGCGTTGAAATCGTTACCGTACGCGTTAAAGTGCCCCATGTAAGTTACCATTGACATATTTTCCCTACTTTCTGCTTCAAAAAGTGCTTCGCTGAAATTGTAATCTCCAGACACAAAAGATGACATTACCAAATTCTGCGGTATACAGGAATTAATAAACTTGAATCTAAATGTGAGATGTTGAGTGCACCAGTGTAGCCAGTCAGTATCCCTACTGTACCTTTCAAAGGGGGCATTAACAGTAAACATTGAGCAAACGTACCGTAACAAACAAGCCAAGTGGCTTACACAGCCTTTTCCCAAAATCAACTTCCACAATTGAACATATCTAGGCAGCCTGTCCCATTCCCTCTGGAAAATGCCGACAATCACAACTGCCCAATTGCTTGTTGAATTGCTCCTCTGATCGCTTCCTTGTCAAGATCTGATACCACAAGCAACTGCATGCCCAAGATATAGAAAGGAAAAAGGAAACACCCGCCCAGGTCATTATTGAACAATTCACCACTACGTATCAAGTGATAGAAACGAAAAAGGTAGATACGGAAGAATGATGCAGCCTAGCCTGCAACAAGAATGGGTCGACAATTACAATATGGAGCAAAGGAGTTTGGAAAGGTTGAAACGTTACCTCTTGGATGGTCAGCCCTGCACGTGCGACAAGCTTGTATTCAGAGGCGGATTGCGAAGCCAGGAAGATCTGTGGGAATAACAATACAAACACCATGAGGTTTGCAGGGGCGGATGTGCAGGTGTGCAGGGAAGGTAGTAGTGTGAAGCAAGCAAATAACGGATTAAATGTCATTTCAATGCTCAGTACAGTAGACGCAGCTCTTCAATGGTGTAGGTAGAACTATGGCAAGAATGAATCGGACTTATGAGGGGTAGAGGCCTTCGTATGCCATTCTGTTACGAACCTTTCAAACAATGCCTCATACCATTTGCATTATAGTATGTGGAAAATGACTGACAGCGATAACGGTCTTACCTGAAATCCAGGAGCCAAGGCACCTCCCTTGGCCACACGGCCCAGATTCACCGAGGTTATGCCAGGTGTCGCTCTGAGATTGGCTGCCACTGCTTCCAGCTCAGCCGCTGCCTGCTCAGGATAAAATGAGGGGATGGTCAGGGGATGGAGAGGTAGAATCAACATTGCATTGCGCTACCACAATACACGACAACACACGCACACCTCAAAGCAAGGCGGAATGGCAGAAGAGGACTCCGCAGCTTCAAAGTGGAAGGGAGGAGATCAGATAGCAGTGCCACAGATATTGAGGGTCAACTCAAACCTTCTGAGTAAACTTAAGCCTTCGGAGTAAACTCAGCACTCACCTCAAAGCGAGGCGGAATGGCAAGAGAGGACTCAGCAGCTTCAAGTGACTGGAGGAGGTCCGATAGCGGTGCCACGGGTTTTGAGGTCAGCTAAAACATTTCGAGCCAACTCAAAACTCACCTCAAATCGCGGCTGCATGCTTGGAGAGGACTCAGCAGCTTCAAGTGACTGGAGGAGGTCAGATAGCGGCGCCACGATAGCTGTACACTACACTTACATTACAGTACACTCCCATTACATGACACTAACACACGCACCTCGAATCGCGGCTGCATGCTTGGAGCAGAATCAGCAGCTTCAAGTGACTGGAGGAGGTCCAATGGCGGCGCCACGGGTGGTTGCCGCTTCCACTGCTGGCGCCCCTGCTGCTGCCGCCCCTGCTGCTGCTGCTGCCGTCGCAGTTCCCTCTGCTTTTGTTGGTGCTGCCCTTGCGGTGGCTCGAGGGAAACGACCAGGCGCTTCTGAACCGGCTTGCTGCGCAGCACACGCACTGGCAGGGACTGGTAGGTGTGTGCAGGGTAGAGAGGGAAAGAAGGCGTGAGGAGGAAGAAGGGAGGCTCCAGTGATACGACCAGGCGCCTTTGGACTGGCTTGCTGCGCAGCACATGCACTGGCAGGGACTGGGTTGAGTGGGAGGACGAGTGGGAGGAGGGGGAAGGGTGCGAGGAAGGGGAGAGGGAGGGAAGCGGGGAAAGGGTGTCTCTAGTGATACTAGCAGGCGCTTTTGTTGCTGCCCCTGCTGCTGCTGCTCTTGTGGTGACTCCAGAGATACGAGCAGGCGCTTTTGGACTGGCTTGCTGCGAAGCACATGCACCGGCAGGGACTGTCAGGTGCAGACGGGGTTGAAGGAGAGGGAGGGGAGGGGAGGAGGCGGGAGACTATTTTTGAGGTGCCTAAGAAACAAACGCTCGTAATTGGTTTGCTGAGAAGCACGTGCATTGGCAGGGACTGAGAGACTTTTGAGTCGACTCAAAAGTCACCTGGTTTGCTGAGAAGCATGTGCACTGACAGGGATTGGGAGGTGCAAGGTACGGAGGTGAGGGAGGGGAGGAGCGGTGAGGAAGGAAGGGTGGCACTGCCGCTGCTTTGCCTGAACGAAAAACGTTAAACCCTGACCTAAATCAGTTGTGCATGCATACGCATGCATGTGAGAGTGAACATATGGGCAATCGCATTTTGAGAAGTGAACCTCTGATGTGAATGGGATGAAGGGTGTGTGGCTTGAAGAGTTAGTATCAAGTGCTTGATGCGAAAGCAAGCACACAGGTGTGATGTGCGGGCCTACATGACCAATGGGGAAGGGCCACGTGTCCACTGGCCCTTGCTTCAGCTGTCGAATAGTGTCGTAGTGGATCATGACGTTCACTCCCTCCACCTGTGAGGGTGTGACACGTGGCACACATTGGAGACAGGGTTAAAGTAAGGGGCACATGAGGAAAGGGGCGGATGAGGAAATGGGACAAAAAAAAGGAGAGAGAAAAAATAGACAGCAGCCCCACAAAGGCGTTACAACAAATATCCATGTGCAAAGCGAATATTACATGTAATAAAAAACAGACGTACTCTCGTGTAGAACATAATTGAACAGTCATTTTCATGTCACCAATGTACACCACAGTAGACGTTACAGCAAACATGCATACATTCACATACACAATAACACTACTAAACGAAAAATAAATTGCCAGGTAGAGTGTACCTGAACGGTCATGTTCATGTCACCAATGTACACCACAGTTGACGTCACAACATCTCCAGCCTCCAATCGGTGCTGATGTGGCACCATGCCGTGAAGCCATGCACATGCACAAATGGAAGAGAGAAGGCAGGGGTGCAGCAATGCACACACATGCATGCAACGAACGGCTGAGGAGACTGAGTGGGTAACGTGGAAGAAGATACGAGCAAGGAAATGTACATGGCTCATTTAAACTTGTCTCCCCAAACACCTGCCAACTTGTCTCGCTTTGAACTCGCAAAAGACCAAAGCAAGAGGATTGGATATTCCAGAGCAAGTCTTCTTTCAAGGCACCTCAAAAGTAGACAATTTGTTAGTCAACTTATTGCCCTGAATCCTTCGTATTTTTTGGTCAGACTGCAAGCATCCACCTGCAGCTGCTCCCTTCGTTCCCACCCTCTCCTTGTCCTCCACAACAGCTCCCCTTTTGTGAAACAAGCGTGTTTTTACTGTACTCCCTCCCTATTCCAGCTAACTGCAAGCACCCACCTGCAGCTGCTCCCTTCGCTCCGCCCTCTCCTTGTCCTCCAGATCAGCCCCCCTTTGTGTCACAAAGACAGAGTGCGTCTTAGAGTCACACTTCTCAACTCTCACTCGCACTTCCTGCAAAGGAGATAGAGAGGAGAGAGAAGGAGAAGGGCAGAAGAGAGGAGGGAGTCAGAGGGAGGAAATAATTAGCATTTCCCAAACCTCCCGAGCCGTAGAGTACGTTTTGAGGCGACTCAAAATAAACCTCAAGGAGAAGGACAGAAGAGAGAGGAGGGAGTCAAAAGGAGGAAATAATGAGCATTTCCCAAAACTCCCGAGCCGTATAGTACAAAATACCTACCTCCTCCACGGGGGAGAAAAAGGAGGGCAAGTATCACCTCCCCCACATAGGACAAGAAGAGGGAAAGTCTCACCTCCCACTAGGACAAAAAGAGGGCAAGTCTCACCTCCCCCACATAGGACAGAAAGAGGGCGAGTCTCACCTCCCCCACATAGGACGAGAAGAGAGCGAGTTTTTCCTGAGAATACTGCTCACTCAGTTGAACCCTCAAGGTCTCCACACCCTCCCCTCCACCTTCTCCCTCCCCTCCCTCTCCCTCCTCTCCACCCTCTCTCCTTTCTACTTCAAATTTCCCCCCTCCTCCTCCCACTTCCTTTCCTTTCCCCTGCTTCTCATCTTTCCCCTTGTTCCTCGCCTTCCCCTCCTCCTGTTTCCTGCCTCCCTCGTCTCCCCCATCTCGCTCCTCCCTCGCCCCAAACAGGTTCGGGTCGTGCCTGTTGGCTCGGAGCCAGCCTCGGAAGCTCCATCGGCGGAGCTCCGGGAGCATGGAGCTGGCTGGGAGGAAGGCTTGCACGCCGTTGAGCGAGAGCTGAAGAAAAGGGGGGGAGAAGGGAGAGGAGGGAGGAAGGATACAGAGGTGTGTGGGGGGGCGTATACTCAAGCAGTGAAGCTAGGAGTGAAGCTCCACCGGCGCAGCTCCGGGAGTATGGAGCTGGCTGGGAGGAAGGCTTGCACGCCGTTGAGGGAAAGCTGGGAGGGGGGGAGGGGACGGGAGAAAGGGGAATGTGGGATTTCCAGCTACGCAGCTCTGGAAGCATGGAGCTGGCGGGCAGGAAGGCAAGCACGCCACTGAGTGAGCGGGCAAGCAGTCAGCGGGCAAGCAGCTTACCACAAGTCCACCATGGTTGCAGGCGACGACCTTGGCCGTGACTGTAGTGCGCTCACTCACCGCCTTCTGTATTGCCTTCTCATCCTGCCACGTGCCGTGAACATGAAGATAAGAATGAAAATAAACATGAAAAGCAACATGAAGAAGGTGAAGGAAAAAAAAAAGAAATAACAAAATGGAGGAAAGGAAAAGAAAAGAAAGAAAGAAAGAAAGAAAGAAAGAAAGAAAGAAAGAAAGAAAGAAAGAAAGAAAGAAAGAAAGAAAGACTGACAGACAGACATGAGCACGAGTGAACATGAATGGTGGATGCACAGCATTTTATGGTGAATGGATTGATGGAGGGGTAGAAGAGGGGAGATTATGAGAGGAGGGATAAAGGCGATGAAGGGCACAATTCAGAGGGTATAAGTGCATCTTACCTCAGGAGAAGTATTGAGGCCCCACAGTCTAATGCCCTTCAGCTGATCATCATTGCTTGGAGAATCAGCACTTAGTGAACTGGTATCAGCACCAGCACTTAGTGAGGTGGTCTCAGCACCAGCACTTAGTGAGGTGGTATCAGCACCAGCACTATCAGCAGCGTGAGAGAGTGTGGCAGTGGTGGGAGCAGGAGCAGCAGGAGCAGCAGGAGGAGCAGGCGCAGCAGGAGCAGCGGGAGCAGAAGCAGCATCAGCAGAAGCAGGAACAGCATGGGCAGGAGGAGGAGGAGGAGGAGGAGGAGCGGGGGCAGGCGAGGAGAGGGAAGGGCGAGGCTTGGGGGGAAGGGGAGGGCGGGGGGAGTCGGGGCGGGTGCGGCGCAGATCCACAGGCAGAGGGGTGACGACAGGGGGAAGGCCCTTGGGAATAGGCGTCACAGCCAGGGGGTTGGGCTGCTTGGGAGGCCTAGAGTGGGGGACATAACAGGGATGGTAGGGAGGAGGGCGAGCGGGGGAAATCAGGGCGGGTGCGGTGCAGGCCAACAGGCGGAGGGGTGACGACAGGGGGAAGGCCCTTGGGAATAGGGGTCACAGGGTTGCTGGCTCTGAGAGGCTTGGGAGGCCTGGAGGACGCAAGAGGGGGGGGGGGGAGGGGCGGGAGGGATAGGAATCGTGCCATGGAGCCATTGGGGTGGGGAGGTTGTGCCTACCGTTACTCTAGAACCTCTTCAGATGACTTTTGAGTCAACTCAAAAGTCACCTTGGAGCCATTGGGATGGGGAGGTTGTGCCTACCATTTCTCCAGGACCTCTCCAAATCCAGCACCTGCTGCGGCAGTGGCAGCAGCAGCAGCTCGCGAAGGGGCCGAGTTTAGAGTCACCTCAAAACTCAAAATTTTGGGTGGCAGTACATACCGATTCTCTCTAGGACCTCTTCTTCAGATCCAGCATCTGGCAGTGGCAGAAACGGTAGGTACAGCTGGCGGCAGTGGCAGCAGCAGCACACGAAGGGGCCGAGTTTTGAGTCGACTCAAAACTCAAAGTTTTGGGTGGCTGCGCTGTGCCTACCGGTTCTCTAGGACCTCTTCAAATTCAGCATCGGCAATGTCAGCCGAAGGTTGCGGGGATGGCTTCAGCAAGGCTGCTTGCCTCCTCTCCCTCGCCTCCTCCCGCCTCACTGCCTCCTGCACTGTCGCAGACCACTCCTCTCCCTCCCCCTCCCCCTCTTTCTCTCTCTCTCCCTCTTTCTCTCTCTCTCCCTCCGCTTCTCCCACTCCCTTTGTGGCCGTGACAGCAGCAGCAGCGTTTTGTGGCCGTGCAGAGGCCTTCGTTACAGTCACTCTCTTCACTGCCACCTTCTGCAAAGGGGCCACCGTCTCTCCTTCACCCTCTCCTTTCGCTGCTGCTCCAGCTGCTCCAGCTGCTCCTGCTGCTTCGCCTGCCACCGCTTCTACTGTTGCTTCTCCTGCTGCTTCTGATGCTGTAATCTCTCCGTCCACGACTTTACCTCCGGCATCCTTGTTATTCAGTTGACCCGACTCCGTAATCCCGATAGCCGTCCCACTCACTGGCCTCTGCAACGCTTCCCTCTCCTCCTTCTTCCTCCTCTCCCCCTCCACGCCCTTACCAACCACTGCGCTTGCCTCTGCTGCACTCACAGTTCCCCCTGATCCCAGAGGCCTCTGCAACGCGGGAAGGGCCTCTTCGCTCTCCCCTTTCCCCTCACCCTTCTTCTTCCCCTCCCTCTCCACACCTTTATCAGCAACTGTGCTCGCCTCTACTGCACGCACTGCCCCCGCTGGCCTCTGCAACGCCGGCAGAGCTTCTTCCCTCTGCTCATCGTCTTTCTCCTCCTCCTCCTTCTTCCTCTCCCCTTCCACGCTCTTATCAACCACTGTGCTCGCCTCTACCGCACGCACTGCCCCTGCTGGCCTCTGCAACACTGGCATCACCTCTTCCCTCTCTTCTTTCCCTTTCTGCTTCCTCTCCCCCTCCACACCCTTATCAGCCACTGTACTTGCCTCTACTGAACTCACAGCCCTCCCCGACCCTGCTGGCCTCTGCAACGCTGGTAACACCTCTTCCTGCTCCTCTTTCCCCTTCTTCGCCCTTCCTCCTCCCGTCATCTCTCCGGCCTTCGCGCCTTTGTCATCAGAGACCTTGCTCGCCTCTGCCGCACTCACAAACCGCCCAGACCCTGCTGGCCTCTGCAACGCTGGCAATACTTCCTCCCTCTCCTCCTCCTTGTCCTTCACTTTCACGCCCTTATCAGACTCCCCGCTCGCCTCTACCGCACTCACAAACCGCCCAGACCCCGCTGGCCTCTGTAACGCCGGCAGAACCTCCTCCCTCTCCTCCTTCGTCTCCTCCCGTTTCACGCCTTTATCATCTTCTCCCTTCGCCTCTGCAGCACTATCAAACCGCCGAAACCCTGCTGGCCTCTGTAACGCCGGCAAAACTTCCTCCCTCTCCTCCTCCTTCTCCCCCTTCTTCTCCTTGTCTTTCTTGTTCTCTCTCTCCTTCTCCCCCTCCTCCGTTTTCTCCCCCACACCCTTCACCTGTTCACCTGCCTTAACGCCTGCTGCCCCTGCCAGTGTGGGTCGTCTGGGTGGTGGTGTCAGTGGTGCTGCTGGTACAGCTGCTGCTGCTGATGATAATGCTGATGCTGCCACTCCCCCAGTCTCCCCCTTTCCCCCATCCCCCTTCCTCTGCACTTTAACTGGTTCTATGATTGCAGCCACCCCTCTAAATTCAGGGGGAAGCGTGTCTTTTACCCCGCCCTCTCCATACATCTGGGACGGCCGTACCGCCCGGATCACAACCGGGACAGCAGCAGGCCGGGCAGCAGGGCGGGCGCTTTTGTCCGTTTGTGAAGATGCACCAGGGGAAGTGGGAAGGGATTGGGCGGCGGCTCTGGCTGGATGGCTGGGCGGCGCAACAAGGGGCGGGGCGCGTCTCTTTGGCTTCTCCGGGCGGGTTACAGTTCCGGCGCCAGAAGATGAAACGTCAGATGTAACGGCGGAACTACCAGCTTTGCTGCCAGCTGTACCAGTAGAAGCCACCTCTGAGGAAGCTTCGGGGCTGCTTCCTCCCCCGGTTCCTGCCGCCCGTGCCGCCCGGGCCTGCATGCGCGCGCGCTCCATGTCCTCCACCTCCGCCCACAGCTGCTCCACTAGCTGCCGCACGTCTCCGCCCATGCGCTTCACACGCTGCTGCACGCGCTCCCCCGCGGACAGCTGGTTGAGGTCCGGATACAGGCGCATCAGCAGGAGCTGGTGGGGAGAATGGGGGGGAGAAGAGGGGACGGAAAGGTGGGGAAGGATAGTGAGGGGAGTAAAGGTGTTGCTGCACGCGCTCGCCCGCGGACAGCTGGTTGAGGTCCGGATACAGGCGCATCAGAAGTAGCTGGGGGGGCGCGAGGGAAGGGGGGAGTGGGTGGGCGGAAGAGGTGGGGGGCGCACGGCGGAAAAAGGGGGGATGGATGAGTTCCGGATACAAGTGCACCAGCAGGAGCTGGGGATGGGAGGGGGGAGAGGGGGGGGGAGACAGGGAGCGGAGGGGGACGGGAAGGGGGAGGGTACAGATGGTGGCGGAAGAAAAGGTGATGCTTTGTATGGTCCCGCACCCGCGGGCAAGTGGTTGAGTAAAGGCGCATGAGGAGGAGCTGGGGGGAGGGAAATGTAGGGGGAGAAAGGGGAGGATTGGGCAATAAATGGCAGGGGTATTGCGAACGGGGTTGGGGGTTTTAGCGGGACACTTCCTGCCTTGTTCCTGTGTGTTCGAGAGCACGCATGTTCGTCCCGCAGGAAAGGGCCCTTTTCCCTCACATTCACAACCCTTGGCCGTTGAGGACCCACCTGCGCCTCGGATCCACGACCCACCTGCGCCTCGGATTCACGACCCACCTGCGCCTCGGTTTTCAACATGTCGTCGCCCATCTGACTCGCGAACGACAGAGCGAATCGCTCCGACGGTTCCCATCGCCGCCGCCACTCCCCCGCCGATCCGTCCGCCGGCGGCGGCTGCTGCGGCGCGCCTCCTGCTGCCGCCCGTGCGGGATTCGCGCGAAGTTGCCGCTGCGGTGCTAACGATTCTTGCGCAATACGGGACACGTGGCGTCTGCCGATTGATCCGCGAAGCAGGGGCCGGCCGAAAAATGCCGCACGTGGAACGATGGACGGAGAGCCATGGATTCGGCGCGAAGTAACTAACAAGGACGGATTAAGAAGCAAGGACTGACTGGGGCGGCTGGAAATCGTAGGGGAGGAAGCGCATCTCATTTTGACGCGCCTAGAAAGAAGCAAAGATTGACTGGTAAGGCTGAAAATCGTAGCGGAGGAAGCGCGGGTCCTTACTAAGTCGAGCGCGGTTTCGGAATGTAGGCATCGGGAGGTGAACGAAGCGCGTTCTAGACCGGTGGAAGGAGCCATCGCTACGGCTTCAGCGGAAGGACGCCACGCGAGTTAACTGCTTGCTCTAATAGCGCTGACCACTTATCAGCTTCCAGTCCGTCTTGCCCAGAACTAGTTTGCCCTTGACCTATTGACGCGACAGTATCAAGGTTCGAACGAGGGACAAAATCAAGGTGGGCAAAAGTGCTGACGTGCCAGCCGGGAATCGAACACGGGTCTACACCGTGCTGACGTGGCAGGGTGCTATTCTGCCACTAGACCACTGGCACTTACAGGATGAGTGTACATCAGATCAGCATTTTTACATAACGTTGGCTATTTGAGCTGCCACGTGTCCCTCGCACTCGAACCACGTCATAGAAGCCTCTGATGTGGTGGCTATCTCCGCATAGGAACTCCAGCTATCTACGTGGCCGAGGCATACTCGCTACGGAACAGAGCGTTTTTGTCATTCTGATTTGCAACTTAGTGAACAAATATTACCCTGATAAACAAGGCTCGACGTTTGCCGTCGTATGGGTTGCGTAGGATTTGCCATTTTTGAAGCTATAAAGGATCATACAAAATAAACTAACATAACCTATACAACCAATTTAATGTATTTATGTAGCACCAAGTTTTAGTTTTAAAGTGATAATGAATATTACAAGCTAGTGCTTATGATTGCCTTTCTAAACGTTGGGTGAAAATATTACTGTGTATATTGAGTATTGAATATAATTAGTGAACAATGTTATAAATCTTCAATATGATATTTTGTAGCAATGATATGTAATGAGGTTCTTGCTGCAGCAAGTATGTGTTTCCAGCTCACACAAAATTCACGTGATAATGAGTGTGTTCTCACGTGCCACCAGTGTTTGGTTTTTTTATTCCAAGTGCCCAGGTCCTGTACTGGCTCGGATTGCCCCGTCGTTTTCGGGCTTTTTATATGTGAATTGTTTCATGCATCATCCTTTTCTGGCAGGCGCGCAAATTCTGTTCAGTGTTTTCGTTTTGCCCCATCGTCTTTTTCGTGTTGTGATTCATGCCTCCCCCCTTCTCCCATATTGCGCACTGTAGTTTCTTGTTTGCCAATCCCTTCCTCCCCGTCATCGCTTCCCCTCCCCTACCAACCACCAGTTGCCTCACCCTCCCATCCCACCCACCTCGTCATCAGCTCTCCCTCTCACCTTCCCATCGCTGCTCCCTTCCACCCCGCCATCCACTTTCCATTCCACCTCGCAATCTCCTCTCCCTCCCACCCGCTGTCGCCGCTCCCTCCCTCCCGCCGTCGCCTCTCCGTTCCTCCCGCCGTCGCCTCTCCCTCCTCCCCGCCGTCGCCTCTCCCTCCTCCCCGCCGTCGCCTCTCCCTCCTCCCCGCCGTCGCTGCTCCCTCCCTCCCGCCGTCTCCTCTCCGTTTCTCCCGCCGTCGCCTCTCCCTCCTCCCCGCCGTCGCCTCGCCCTCCTCCTCGCCGTCGCCTCTCCCTCCCTCCCGCCGTCGCCTCTCCCTCCCTCCCGCCTTAGCTCTCCCTCCTCCCCGCCATCGCCGCTCCCTCCCTCCCGCCGTCGCCTCTCCGTTCCTCCCCGCCGTCGCCTCTCCCTCCTCCCCGCCGTCGCCTCTCCCTCCCTCCCGCCTTCGCCTCTCCCTCCTCCTCGCCATCGCCGCTCCCTCCCTCCCGCTGTCGCCTCTCCGTTCCTCCCCGCCGTCGCCTCTCCCTCCCTCCCGCCTTCGCCTCTCCCTCCTCCCCGCCATCGCCGCTCCCTCCCTCCCGCCGTCGCCTCTCCGTTCCTCCCCGCCGTCGCCTCTCCCTCCTCCCCGCCGTCGCCTCTCCCTCCTCCCCGCCGTCGCCCCTCCCTCCTACCCCGTAGTCGCCTCCGGCGACCAGTGCACGGGCGCAACCGCGAGTTGGTGCGCGAGCGCTTTTTGGTGCGCGAGCGCGGGTTGTTTTCCGAGTTACCGTGGTAAATCCGGTGCGTTCCGGGTCCTTTCATCCTCCCTCCTCCCTCTGAAAATTCTTTGTTTATTCTTCTTCAATTTTTTTTGTTTGTTTTTGCTCTCCTCGTAATTATTGTGTGTCGATTGGTCTTCTCTTGCGTAGCTCTCTTCGTGAAGTAAGGGAGAGACGCGGAGCGCGAGGGAGAGCGTGTGCACTGGAGCGCACGCATAGGAAAGTACGTGTAGGAGTGAGCGTGATAGAGCGCGTGAGAGAGCGCGTGAGGGAGCGCGTGAGAGAGCGCGTGAGGGAGCGCGTGGAGAGTGTGTGAGAGAGCGTGAATTTCTGTTGCGCTTACTTTGTTTTTTAGTGCATCAAGGAAGCTGCATTCTCTGAATTTGTTTTCTTGTGCAACTAATGCAAGTTGTATTCTCTGATTTTGTTCTTGTTTGTGCAGGGAGTGAGTTGCATTCGCTGATTTTTCTTTCCTGTGCAGGGAGTTCAAGCTGCAGCCTTTGTTTCTTGCGGAGAAAACGGATGGGAAGAAGGGAGATGAGGCAAATGAGGGAGGGAGGGAGGGAGGGATGGAGGGGAATGGGGGACAGGATAGTGATAATTTATACAATGCTGAAATTCATTCATTATGCTTGCATGCTTATTACAGTAGCTGTATGTTTTTGTGTTGTGTGTGTCTGTATATGTGTGAGCCTGTATGTGTGTGAATGCGTACATGTGCATACGTGTATTGTGTGTGCTTCGGGTGTTGTGCTAAGTGCCTCGTGTATGCAACTGGGATTGTGATCGTCGGTGGGGCAGCTTTGCTAGCCTCTTCCGTACCATATCAATCTTAGTTGCAGCACTGATGCATTTAGCATTCGCTTTGAAACATTCTTTATCGTTGTCTTCTGTTTTTGTAATCATTTATGTGTTATCGTCTGTGCTTGTTTCGGGGGTGTGGTGCTAAGTGTCTCGTGTATGCAACTGGGATTGTGATCGTCGGTGGGGCAGCTTTGCTCGCTTCTTCTGTACCATATCAGTCTCAGTTGTTGCATTGATGCAAATTTAGTGTTTCCTTCAGAACATGCACGACGGCTTTATTTTTGTGTTGTCATTTGTGTTCTTGTGTCATTGTTCATCATCTTTAGGGCTAGAACGAATCTCCAATTGTTCCATTCGCAGTACTTATAGACGATTATGGAATGATTGGAAACATCTGTTTTCATTTTTTTGGGGAAGCTATGTGAACAGTGATTTTTTTCAAAATTATAAGAGAAATTCACTGTTCACATCAGCCAACCGAAAAGTGAAAACGAATGTATAAGGTTGCTACGCAACCCAAAAAAAATGAAACACTTGAAGCCACCACATCACCTTCCCATTGCTCTCGCAACCAGTGGCAAGCTTCGCACATGCCTCGCGAATCCAAGAGCGACGCTGCGTGCTGCATGTTTCCGTGCGAGCCTGGATTGGGCTAGAAACCGCGTCGCACTGTGAAAATGCAAGAACGCGGCACGGCGTCCCCTCCCCCTTCCCCTTTATGCTGGCGAAATTCGCCCTCCCCATTCCCCAGCAGCGCCATATCGTTTCTACCCGGCAGCCCCTCCGCAGCGCCACTCGCTCCCCGCACCCCCTATCTTCTGCTGTTGATTTGCGCTTTGCGGTTTGGGCGAGCCCTTTGAAAAGCACAGCCGCAAAGATGCAGAAAACCATTTCCGATTTCTTGGAAACTCCATCGTACTAATTACGTCTTCGTCGTCAACCTCCAAGCTTAGTTACTCTCTTTCGAAGTGAATCAGCATCGCTAACGCCGGAATATTATAGTGCCAGAATATATAAGACGAATATCGATCATTAGATATACACTTTTTTTTTTCCCTTGTAGCCGACGCCCAGAATGGAGAAGCTATTCGGCCTGCTCCAGGTGGACCAATCAACGGTGGCCATGGTGGAGCATTTTGGGCGGTTCGAGAGGGCGCTCGACCCGGGCTGCCACTGCGTGCCGTGGTGCTGCTGTTACCGCCCCGCGGGGCTCATGAGCCTCCGCGTGCGGCAACTCGACGTGCGCTGCGAAACCAAAACCAAGGTATCCGTTGTGCTTTGGTGCTTTCGAGGGAGGAGAGGTTGGAGGAAGGGGAAGATGGCTGTTACTGTGCGCGGAGAACCTGCTGATACAGGCGCCCCGGCAGAGCTCATGAGCCTCCACGTGTGCCAACTCAAGCTAGGGTCTGCAGGCGCGCTTACTTCCCCGCCAGTGGCCTGTACGGCGCCATCAGAAACGACCACTTGTGCAATTTCAAACCTGGTGTCCTATAGTTATGGCGCTTGAGTGTTGACCCCTTTTGGGGAGTCTCTTTTCCCCATCTTGCTGCTCTTCGTATCTCCTTTCATGGTCGCACGTGAGTGTCTGTCCCCCCCAATCCTTCATCTGCCTGCACTTGGCATGTCGGTTTTTCTCTTTCCGGTTACGGTTTCAGGACAACGTGTTTGTGACGGTGGTCGCGTCGATAAAGTACCTGGCTGTTCTCGAGCAGATCGAGGACGCATTTTACAAGCTGCAGGACCCTCACCACCTCCTTTCTATCCGCGTTTTTGGCTTTCCCGCTTCAGGAC